TGATTGGTTTAGGCCCTGAGGTGCCTACGTGCTGAGCTGCACTGGGCCCAAGTTGTTAAGCAACTAAGTGGTCAGGGGGAATTCCTACACATATCTAATGGGCAGTCCTGGGAATTGTCTTAACAGCTACAGGAATTTCAGGCTTTGAGTGTAGCTTAGAAACTTAACAATACCTGGCCCTTTACATTTTAACTCTGGCTTTGCAGCTTAGAAACTCTACAATACCTGGTCCTTTACATTTTAACTTCAGTTTCTTTTACCCTTTCAATACCTATGTAAGTCTAAATGAAATAGGCATGTGTATTTAACTGTTTGACTCAAAGGAAGGATTTTGGGGAAGCTACTATTGATTTTAAGCATTGCTTTAAAAGATTATCAAGGGAAATTCTATGGTAATGGCACTGATGTGGTTAATAAAGATAAAGGTAGCCAGGCATGATAGCACACACTTGTCACCCCAGCTGCTTGGAAAACTATGGGAAGACTGAGCAGGAAGATCACAAGTTTGAGTCCAGCCTTGGCAACTTAGCAAGACCCTGTCTCAAAATAAAATTTAAAAAGTGCTGGGGTTGGGCTGGGGATGTGGCTCAAGCTGTAGCGCGCTTGCCTGGTATGCATGCCGCCCTGGTTCGATCCTCAGGACCACATACAAACAAAGATGTTGTGTCCGTCGAAAACTAAAAAATAAATATTAAAAAAAAAGTGCTGGGGTAGAGTTCAATGGTATATAACACTTGCCTAGAATACATGAGTCCCTGAATTCAATCCCCAAAACTATAAATTAAATAGTTAAGGTGAACAAGTCAGAATCTTAGCCAATATCCAGAAGCATTTTGGGGGCCATATGTCTTCTACAGCACATAGTTGAACTTGTCAGGAAACCCAGCCTAACTGTGCTGATATTGTTAACATTCTTTGGTTAATAAAAAGATTATAATGGAATGTTCAGGAACAGCTCAAAATGAAACATCTTGGAAAAAATCCATATCAAATTTGACTTTACAACTCTCTTGGATACATGATGGAATGCTGGCTACATGTT